GCGTGTTGCCCCGCATCGCGCGCGCGCACTATAGCGCGTAACGATTGTTTTAAGGTTTTAGCTATAATACTATATATATAGCGCACTCAAGTATTAACATAAGCCTCGAGTCTTATTATAAGACTTGAGTGCTATTTTAAGACTTGAGTGCTAAAATAACGTCAGCTTTCCTAACATGGGTCTCGCGGCCTATTATAGCAAGTCTTGGTCCTCAGGGGTCGGCCTGCAAATCGTCGAGGCCGTCGCGGAGGACAGCGGCAACGGCGGCGTCGCGGCGCTGGTCCTCTTCCCGGAGGAGATGGGCGTGCCGGGCAAGACGGGGGTGTGGGACATGACCGCCCCCCTGCGCACCTTCCGGTTCCTCGGGCCGTCGCTCCTCGCACTGGGAAGGCGCTGCCGAACCTTGAGGGATCGGGCGCGGAGCTTTCCCCGAGGCGACCTGGGGCTGCAGATGCGCGCAGCGGCGGAGGAGCTGGGCATCGGCATGGCCTCTCCCTATCAGCTGCGGCACGGCGGGGCCTCCGACGACCTCGTGGCCCGCAGGCGCGCCGCCCTGGAGATCCAGGCCCGGGGGGTTGGGCAAGCCCGCAGTCTTTCCTTCGCTGCGCCAAGCCGGGCAGGATCCTGGCGGAGATGAGCAAGCTCCCCCCGGGCGTGCTGGAGCACGGCAAGGCGATGGACGCCGCGCTTGCCGCCATCTTCCTGGAGGGGGCGGCGCCCTCGCCGGGCCCGGCGCGGCCTGACGCCGGCTCCTCGAGGACCTGAAAAGTAGTGTGAGAGGAGTGAAGCATATTGTGAAGGCTCGGACGGTTTTTCTGGAACTTTTTGCCGGGGCCGGGGGTCTCTCCGCCCGGATCAGAACTCTGGGCCTGGCCGCGCTTCCCCTGGACTTTGACCAGGGGCGTCGGCCTTGGCACGACCTGAGTCTCCCCGAGGTCCAGCAAGTGGTCCTGGGGTGGCTCAAGTCCCGAGTGGTCCGGGCCGTCTGGTTGGGGGCGCCTCCTGGAGCCGGGCCCGGCATGGGCCCCCGGTGACCTCCTGGTGCTCGCTCAGGTCGGCGGCTCGTCCTCTTGGGCCCCAGGGGCTTTCCGGCAGGCCTCTCCAGACGGTCCGCTTGGGTCATTCACAGATGCGTTTCTCAGTGCAGGTCATCTCTTTGTGTCGCCGTCTCTCTACCCCGGTGTGCCTTGGAAATCCAGGGGCATCGTTTTTGTGGACGGCCCCACCTGTGGCCTCGCTCCTTTTGAAGCCTGATTGCAAGACTTTTATGGTAGACATGTGCTCTTTCGGGGCCCCGTGGCGCAAACGCACCCGTGTCGTGTGGTGGGCCCCGTGCCACCCCCCTGCCTCACCTCCATGCCTCTGCCAGGGCCGTGGTGGTGTTTGCAGCTTCTCAGACAAACAGCACATTGTTCTCGCAGGAGTCGACCGGGCCTCTGGAATTTTGTGGACCCGGCGCGCCGAGCCCCACGGCAGAAACTTCTGTATTGTTTTTTCGGCCGCACTGTTCAGCAACAACTAAGTTGGTTAGGCTTCAGTCGATTGTCAACGTTGGTAAATGAATAGCGTTTATTTCCCGGCCCCGCGTGTCCGTGCTGGCGCCCTCCGGGTGCCACACCACCATTCGCGAAATGGGTATTCTTACAGCGCGCTGTTTTGTTTTCTTCGTGGACGGCTCGGTGGCCATCCGCGCCCCAGGCCCGGTCCCTCGGCTCGCCCAGGCCCCTCGCCCACACACAGGAAAATACATGTTGTGGCATGGCAGAGCTTTGAGATGGTCTCGTGTCACATCTCATCTCATTGGCGCCGGAATGCCTTGAGGGCTTATCCTCCGCAACCTTTCTGGCTCAGTTCTCTCGCCCCTTCCCCCCCACCCTCTCGTTTCTTCGCCTATATGCTTACAGCACGCTGTTTCGTTTTCTTCGTGGACGGCTCGGTGGCCATCCGCGCCCCACGCCAGGTCCCTCGGCTCGCCCAGGCCCCTCGCTCACACACAGGAAAATACATGTTGTGGCATGGCAGAGCTTTGAGATGATGATGATGATGATGATGATGATGATGATGATGATGATGATGATGATGATGATGATGATGATGATGATGATGATGATGATGATGATGAGGATGAGATGATGATGATGATGATTGATGATGATGATGATAAGGGGAGGAGGAGAGGAGGAGGAGGAGGAGGAGGAGGAGGAGGATGCGGAGGAGGAGGAGGAGGAGGGAGAGAAAGGAGAACGGAGGAAGAAGGAGGAGGAGGAGGAGGAGGAGGAGCAAGGAGGAGGAGGAGGAGGAGGAGGAGGAGGAGGAGGAGGAGGAGGAGGAGGGGAGGGGGAGGAGGAGCAGGAGCAGAAGCAGGAGCAGGCAAGGAGGGCAGGAGGAGCAGGAGAAGGACGAGGAGGAGCAGGAGCAGGAGGAGCAGGAGGAGCAGGAGCAGGCGGCACAGGGGAGCAGGAGCAGCAGGAGAAGCAGGAGGAGCAACATGAGGAGCAGGAGGAGGAGGAGGAGGAGCAGGAGGAGGAGGAGGAAGAGGAAAAGGAGAGGAGCAGGAGGAGGAGGAAGAGGAGGAGGAGGAGGAAGGAGGGAAGAGGAGGAGGAGGAGGGAGGATGCGGAGGAGGAGGAGGAGGAGGGAGAAAGGAAAACGGAGGAAGAAGGAGGAGGAGGAGGAGGAGGAGCAAGGGGAGGAGGCGGAGGAGGAGGAATAATAATAATGATAAGAGGAAGAAGACGAAGAAGACGAATAATAAGAATACTACTAATAAGAATAAGAATGCGAATAATAATACTACTGCTAATACGAAGAAGAAGAGGAGAAGGAGGAATATGAGTAGGAGGAGGAGGAGGAGGAGGAGGAGGAGGAGGAGGGAGAAAGGAGGAGGAGGAGGGAGAAAGGAGGAAGGAGAAAGAAGGAGGAGGAGGAGGGGGAGGACGGAGGATGAGGATGACGACGAGGATGATGATGATGATGATGATGATGATGATGATGCTGATGCTGATGCTGATGCTGATGATGATGATGATGATCATGATCATGATCATGATGATGATGATGATGATGATGATGATGCTGTGATGATGATGCTGTTGATGATGATACTGCTAATGATGATGACGACGATGATGCTTATGATGATGATGATGATGATGATGATGATGATGATGATGATGATGATGCTCGTGATGATGATGATGATGATGATGATGAGGATGATGTTGATGATGATGTGGATGAGGAGGATGATGATGATGATGATGATGATGATGATGCTGCTGACGTTGATGATGCAGCTGATGCTGATGATGATGTGAGTGGTGGTGGTGTTGACGATGATGGTGGTGATGATGGTGATGGTGATGATGGTGGTGACTATGACGTTGACGATGCTGATGCTGCTGTTGCTGATGATGATGATGATGCTGATGCTGAATCTGAGGATGGTGTTGCTGCTGCTGCTGATGATGATGATGATGATGACGATGGTGATGCTGATGCTGCTGATGATGATGACGACGATGATGATGTTGATGCTGATGATGATTATGATGCTGATGAGGATGATGACAAGGAGGAGGAGGAGGAGGAGGAGAAGGAGGAGCAGGAGGACTCATGAGGAGGAGGAGGCGGCGGAGGACGAGGTGGGGGAGGAGTAGGAGGAGGAGGAGGAGGAGGAGGAGGAGGAGTAGGAGGAGAAGGAGGAGGAGGAAGCGGAGGAGAGGTAGAGGAGGATAAGGAGGAAGGACGGAAGGGCGTATGAAGGAAGGAAGGAAGGACGGAAGGAAGGAGGAATGAGGACGGAGGAAGGAGGAAGGAAGAGCAGCAGCACGGGAAGGATGAGAAGCAGGAGGATGAGGGAGGATGAGGAGGAAGAGGAGGAGGAGGAGGAGGAGGAGCAGGACGAGGATGGAAGGACGGACGGAAGGACGGAAGGAAGGAAGGACGGACGGAAGGAATTATGGAAGGACGGACGGAAGGCAGGGGGAAGGAGGAAGGAGGAAGGAGGACGAAGGAGGAGGAGGAATATGAGGAGCAGAAGGAGTGAGGATGATAATGATGCTGATGATGTTGCTGATGAGGATGAGGATGATGACGACGACGACGATGATGATGATGATGATGCTGATGATGATGATGATGATGCTGATGATGATGATGATGCTGGTGGTGGTGGTGATGATGCTGATGTTGATGCTGATGATGGTGATGCTGATGATGCTGATGATGCTGATGATGCTGATGCTGATGTTGATGATACAGTTGCTGCTGATGGTGATGGAGATACTGGTGGTGATGATGAAGATGATGCTGCTGATGATGCTGCTGTTGACAACGACGATGATGATGATGATGATGATGATGATGATGATGATGTCGATGATGATGATGCTGATGATGATGATGATGATGATGCTGCTGATGATGATGATGGTGATGATGATGATGATGCGCATGCTGATGATGATGCTGATGATGATGATTATGATGATGCTGATGATGATGATGATGATGATGCTGAGGGTGCTTCTGTTGATGATGATGATGTTGATGGCGATGATGACGCTGATAATGCTGATGCTGATGATGATGATGATGATGATGAGACTGGTGATGATGATACTGATGCTGATGATGCTGCTGCTGATGATGATGATGATGATGATGATGATGATGATGATGATTATGATGCTGAGGATGCTGATGATGATGCTGATGATGAGGTTGATGAGCATGATGATGCTGATGATGAGCATGATGATGCTGATGATGAGCATGATGATGCTGATAATGAAAATGATGATGATGAGGAGGAGGAGGAGGAGGAGGAGGAGGAGGAGGATAGAGGAGGAGGGAAGGAGGAGGAGGAGGACGGAGGAGGGGAGGGAGAGAGGAGGAGAGGAGGAGGAGAGAGGCGGGAGGAGGAGGGAGGAGGAGGGAGGAGAGGAGGAGGAGGAGGAGGAGGAGGGGAAGGGGGATGGGGCGCCGCTCCCCGGGCAGGTCCGCACGGACATCGAGCAGGGCCTGCCGAGGGCTACCGATCGGGACGCCTCCTGGGCGCCGCACCTGTTGCCCACACGCGGCGGCGCCGCGGGGCCTGGGCAGGCCGAGGACTGGACTGTGGGAGGTCGAAAGGTCGTCGTCGTCGTCCCATCTCCTCCTGAGTATCTCCTCCCACCTCCTCCTCGTCGTCGTCGTCGTCCCTCTCCTCCTGAGTATCTCCTCCCGAGTATCTCGTCGTCGTCGTCCCTCACCTCCCGTTTCCCCCGCTCCGCCCTTCTCTCCCCCCCCCTCGCGCGAGAGTTTGCGCGCAGGTGTAGCGGGGAGCCTGCGGGGGATGGGAAACGAGCATGTGGTGGATGATGATGATGGTGATGATGAGGAGGTGGAGGACAGGAGGGAGGAATAGGACGAAGCATGGGGCTGAGCATGAGGAGGAGGAGGAGGAGGAGGAGGAGGAGGAGGAGGAACAAGGTGGAGATGCACAGGACGGCCATCTCTTATGTCGCAAGATTATCTTCATTTCTGGTACTGGTTGGCCGACAAGCACTGCACGGTTCGATTGATCTGAAAAAAGGGCACTTTGACGGAAGCGTCGCCCTTAGGAGCGTTCTCGAAGTCGAGATGGAGTTGGCCTCAGGAGGACCAGATCCGCCGATCTCTGCGATCGCATCTGATCGCACCCAATCACAAAGCCCAGTATCCCAATGGGTGACCACTGGCATTTCTGCACTTCTGGATCGCTACGTGCGCAGTACGCATGTCAAGTGTGTGTGTGTGTGTCTGTGAGAGAGAGAGAGAGAGAGAGAGAGTTCTTGTGTGTTTGTGTTTGTTGAGGGGTGAGCGGCTCTTCAGCCATCTCAGGTAGGCGAGCAGGAGAAGACATGCGTTGTTGTGAACTGTCAGAGGATCGAAGCCCTGGGCACCAGGACGGACTCAGCGGTCTACTGCCCGACTTTCGCAGGTCCTGCGTAATCATGCTTCCTGTTAGCTTGTACTTGCTACCGTGGCGGCTGTATTTGTTCAGCTGTCGTACCGCCACGACACATGGCGTGCTGTAGCACAGTCTGTTCAGAGCGTGCCTCATCTTCACAAGGTTTTCGGGGCGGGGTTATTGGCTGAGTCTCGTGGAGGCCCGGATCCGCTCTCTTAGCGCGCAGAGGCACTCTTTGAATTTCCAGGCTGAGGACTTGTCTGTTCGTGGAATCGTGAGCAGATCACGCATCTCATCTCTCCATGTGCCCAACACACGTAAGGTGCTTGAATTCGTGAAAGGGCTGGCTGACTACACTTGTGCTTCTGAAGCGGGCGGGCTCGGCAGCTGTAGGCTGATATTGTCTGACGATGTTAGAAGGCATCCCAGAATGCCCCGATGTTTCTAGATTCCACCTCTCTCTCTCTCCCCCTCAACTCCCTCCGTCTCTACCTCTTTCTTTCTCTCTCTCTCTCTCTCTTTCACTCCTTCTCTTCTTCCCTCTTTCTCTCTATCACTCTTCTTTTTTTCTATCTCTCACTCTCTCCCTCTCTCTCGCCCCCTCTCTTTTCGGTCTCCCTCTCTTATTTTCTCTGTCTCTCTCTCTCTCTCTCTTTCTCTCTTTATCTTTGTTTCTCTCGCACTCCCTATCTTCCCCTCTCATTCCCTGGCCCCCCAAACGCCAGCATCCCTGGCTCTTGCAACACACCCAGGCGATCGAACACCACCAAAAGACTGTTCCAAACAGTAGAGGTGACATCACAAGACTTCGAACGAAGAGTTCGACATATTCCCCAACCAGTGCATGCACTTCAGGATTCTCACTTAACATTGAGGTAACTGAGCTCTGCTGGTGGTCCGGCTGGCTCGTCGCCGCCCGTCGACGCCGCCGTCGCCGCTAGTAACTGGGCCCCGGTGCCGTCTGGCCGGCTCGTCGCCGCCAGTCGCCGCCCGTCGACGTCGTTGCCGCTGGATGGCTTTGCACTGCAATCGCGTTGCTTTGTATTGCTGTGCATTGCTTTGCATTGCTTTGCGTTGCGTTGCGTTGCTTTACATTGCTCTGAGTGGCCTTACGTTGCTTTGCATTGCGTTGCATTGCTTTGCAACGCTTTGCACTTCCTTGCATTGCGTTGCATTGCTGTGCATTTTTTTGTATTGTTTTGCATTGCTTTGTATTGCTTTGCATTGCGTTGCTTTGCATTGCTTTGCATGGCCTTACATTGCTTTGCGTTGCTTTGCATGGCTCTGCTTCCCATTGCATTGCATTGCTTTGCCTTGCTTTGCATTGCGTTGCATTGCTTTGCTTTGCTTTGCGCTATATTTCTTCACAACACGGATTGCACCATCTGGATTGCTCCGCATTGATTGCGCCATCTAGATTGCACCTCGTAGCTTGTAAGCAAGCGCTGTTTGGGGTCCACGTTGGTCAGTTAACGTTTCACACATTCTCTGAAGATGTGGCCACATATAACAGTAGTCGGTGTTCCTGTATTCCCCAAACTGTACTTGCACTGCGGGGCTCCTACTTCTCTTCCGGCTCGTCGCCGCCCGCCGCCGCTGTCGCCGCTGGGCCGCAGTGGCGGTTTGGCCAGCTCGTCGCCGCCCGTCGCCGCCGTCGCTTCCGGGCCCCGGTGCCGTCCGGCCGGCTCGTCGCCGCCCGTCGCCGCCGTCGCCGCTGGGCCCCAAGTGGCGGTCTGGCCTGCCCGTTGCCGCCCGTTGCCGCCCGTCGCCGCCGCCCTTCGCCGCGGCGACTCGTCTTTCACTGCATTTCGTTGCACTGCATTCCACTGCATTGCATTGCAATCTCATTGCGTTGCATTGCTTTGCATTGCTTTGAATTGCTTTGCGTTGCCTTGCTTCGCTTTGCGCTGCTCTGCATTGCTTGGCTTTGTGTGGCCTTGCATTGCTTGGCATTGCCTTGCAAATATTTGCATCGCTCTGCATCGCTTTGTGTCGCGTTGCATGGCATTGGTTTGCATTGCTGTGCATTGCAATGCATTGCGTTGCATTGCTTTACATCACGTTGTACTGCGTCGCATTGCTTTGCGTTCCGTTGCTTTACATTTCTCTGCATTGCTTTGCATCCTTTTGCATTGTTTTGCATTGCTTTGCATTGCTTTGCATTGCTTTGCATTGTATTGAGTTGCGTTGCATCGCTTTGCATCGCTTTGCATCCCTTGCACCGCTATTCATTGCTTTGCATGCCTTTGTGTTGCTTTGCATTGCTTTGCATTCTTTTTCGATGCCTCACATTGTGTTGCTTAAAAACACATTTGTATTGCTTTGCATTGCTTTGCATCATTTGCATCGCTTTGCATTATTTGCATTGCTTTGCACTGTTCTGCATTGCGTTGCACCGCTTTGCATCGTTTTGCATCGCGTTGCATCCCTTGCACCGCTATGCATTGCCTTGCATTCCGTTGTTTTGCTTTGCATTGTTTTGCATTCTTTGTCATTGCCTCACATTGCGTTGCATTGCCGTGCGTTGCTTTGCATTGGATTGGATTGCCTTGCGTTGTCCTGTTTTGCATCGCTTTGAATTGCGTTGCGTCTCTTTGCATTGCTTTGGATTGCAGTGCTTTGCATGGCCTTGCATTGCTTAGTAGTGCTTCACATTGTTCTTCATTGCGTTGCATTGATTTGCATTGCGTTGCATTATTCCCCACATGCTTCGTGGGGTTCTGGTTTTCTTCCCTGCCGCGCCGCACCCGCGACACTCACACACACACACGCACACACCTCACTCTTCGTACAGCACAGCACAGCACAGCTCAGCTCAGCACAGCACACAGCTCAGCTCAGCACACAGCACAGCGCAGCACAGCACAGCACAGCTCAGCTCAGCTCAGCTCAGCACACAGCACACAGCTCAGCTCAGCTCAGCACACAGCACAGCGCAGCACAGCACAGCTCAGCTCAGCTCAGCTCAGCACAGCACAGCTCGGCTCAGCTCAGCACAGCCCAGCACAGCCCAGCACGGCTCAGCACAGCACAGCACAGCTCGGTTCAGCTCAGCTTGACACGCTCGCAGAGCGTGGCAGGCGCTGCATTTTCTCGGCACCACTGGGGGCCCAGGGCGTTGCAGGCGTGGCACTGCCTCGACTCGACACCACAGGGGGGGAGCCGTGGGTGGGGACGCTATCCGTTTCGGGCTCGCAAAGCGTGGCAGGCGTGGCACTTCCTCGACACCACAGGGGGGGAGCTGTGGGTGGGGACGCTATCCGTTTCGGGCTCGCAAAGCGTGGCAAGCGTGGCACTTCCTCGACACACAAGGGGGGAGCTGTGGGTGGGGACGCTATCCGTTTCGGGCTCACAAAGCGTGGCAGGCGTGGCACTTCCTCGACACCACAGGGGGGGAGGGTGGGGGGGAGCTGTGGGTGGGGACGCTATCCGTTTCGGGCTCGCAAAGCGTGGCAGGCGTGGCACTTCCTCGACACCACAGGGGGGGGAGCTGTGGGTGGGGACGCTATCCGTTTCGGGCTCGCAAAGCGTGGCAGGCGGCGCTTCCTCGACACCAAAGCGTGGCAGGCGTGGCACGTCCTCGGCCCCACAGGGGGTGCGCTGGGGATGGTCTCCTTATCCGCTGCGAGCTCGCAAAGCGTGGCAGGCGTGGGCGGAGCTGTGGGTGGGGGACGCTATCCGTTTATCTTTTTGTTTCTAGTATCTTCCTAAGGGCTCGCAAAACGTGGCAGGCGTGGCAGTTCCTCGACACCGCAGGGGGGGAGCTGCGGGCGGGGACGCTATCCGTTTCGGGCTCGCAAAGCGTGGCAGGCGTGGCACTTCCTCGGCACCACAAAGGGGGGAGCTGCGGGTGGAGACGCTATCCGTTTCGGGTTCGAACATCAAGGGGGGAGCTGTGGGGTGGGGTCGCTATCGTTTCGGGCTCGCACAAAGTGGTGGCCAGGCGTGGATCTTCATGACACCAACAAAGGGGCGGGTGATGGTGGGTGGGGAAGCTACCCGTTTCGGGCTCGCCAAAGCGTGGCTGGAGTGCACTTTCCTCGAATCCACAGGGGGGTTGGGGAACGCTATTTTTCCGTTTTCGGGCTAGCAAGGCGTGGCAGGACCCACAGTGGCCGTTCTCGCTGGGGGGGATGTGGGTGGGGACGCTATTCCGTTTGGGCTCGCAAAGCGTGGCAGGCGTGGCACTTCCTCGACACCACAGGGGGGAGCTGTGGGTGGGGCGCTATCCGCTTCGGGCTCGCAAAGCGTGGCAGGCGTGGCACTTCCTCGACGCAGGAAGCTGTCCTCGAGGCGTGGCAGTCCTCGACACCACAGGGGGGAGCTGTGGGTGGGGACGCTATCCGTTTCGGGCTCGCAAGCGTGGCAGGCGTGGCACTTCCTCGACACCACAGGGGGGCGCTGTGGGTGGGGACGCTATCCGTTTCGGGCTCGCAAAGCGTGGCAGGCGTGGCACTTCCTCGACACCACAGGGGCGCGCGTGACGGGGATGGTCTCGTTATCCGCTGCGAGCTCGCAAAGCGTGGCAGGCGTGGCACTTCCCCGACACCACAGGGGATGCGCTGGGGTTGGTCTCCCTATCCTTGACGGGCTCGCAAAGCGTGGCAGGCGTTGCACTTCATCGACACCACAGGGGGTGCGCTGGGGGTGGTATCCCTATCCGTTGCGGGCTCGCAAAGCGTGGCAGGCGTGGCACTTCCTCGACACCACAGGGAGTGCGCTGGGGGTGGTATCCTTATCCGTTGCGGGCTCGCAAAGCGTGGCAGGCGTGGCACTTCCACGACACGACAGGGGGTGCGCTGGGGGTGCTCTCCCTATCCGTTGCGGGCTCGCAAAGCGTGGCAAGCAATATGGCGTTGGATGACACATAGGGAAACATTCGCGACGAGGGCTCAGAACGCAGGATTGCGCATATATTAAAAACATAAGCAAGCACATCATATTTAAATTAAGTATGTGGGGTTCTTCGGTCGCGTAAGTTTGCGTTGTTTTTTCATTGCTTTGCGTTGCTTTGCGTTGCATCCCTTTGCGTCGCTTTGTGTCGCTTTGCATTGCTTTTTGCGTCTCTATGCATTGCTGTGCATGCTTTGCGTTGCTTTGCATTGCTTTGCTTTGAGTTGTAAGGCTTTGCGTTGCTTTGCATGTTAGCGCGAAGTATGCCTGCAGACGGGCGCGGGATTGAGGGGCCCAGCGAGATCGACTTCTCCATTCTATCATTCCATTATACTATTGCTCAAGTCTCGAAAGGTTCGCTCGCATGGGCCTCGCGCGCGGCCCCCTTTCAGCGATCGCGGCCGGGGTCTTCCACGGGCTGGTGGCGCTTGGAGCCTGGCGGGTTGCGCCCCCGCCGGTGTGCCCTCGGCCCGTCTGCCCGGCGGCCCATTGCCCCTCGCCCGCGGGGCTCGGCCCGCCTGGCGGGGATCCGCCCGCCGGGCCTGCGGCTCTCTTGGCTGAGCTGCCCGAGGAGCTGGCGGAGGTTCGCGCTGCGGCAGCGCGATTGGACGACCGCCTCGCTGTGCTGCAGGCGACGGCGGGCGCGGTGGCGAGCTTCTGGCCCCTGATCTGGGCGCTGATTGGGGGGCTCGTGAAGGGCGCCCTCGACAGGGTCCGCCAGGCCCTCGCTCGCCGCCGCGATGCTGTCCGCGAGGAGGTACCAGCTCTTCGCGGCGGACGGGGGCGTCGTGAAGGAGCCGGCCTTTATGAGTGAGATGAGGCCAGGCCGCCGTTTTGCCCTGTGGTATTCAGATGATACATACTGGCACGAGAGAGTTGCCCTGGCGTGTGTGCGACCAGGAGCGTGGGTCATCGCCACCCCGGACGGCGACGGGTATCCCGAGAACCTGCGATGCCGTCGGGGTACCAGCGGCGCGGTTCAGGCGGTTCTGGTGGATCCAGGGCAGCCCGTTCTGGATCGCATGCGCGGGCGTTTCTACCGTTTGAAGGACCCGCTGGAGCCCTCGGACTAGGTGGAGCAGGTCAAGATGGCCGAGGCGGAGAGCTACGCTATCACGCGCCGTGCTCCTGCGCCGCCGGCCGCCGTCATGATGTGGGTCGGCGCGGACGTGGAGTACGAGCCCCTGATGGCCTCGGAGGGCGTCCAGCTGGTGCCGCTTGGCGGTGGCGGAGCGCCTGTCCACGGTGAGGGGCCGGCGCTGGCCCCCTTGCCGCCGCCTGAGCTGCCGCCAGATGCGACCTGGCTCATCGTGGACCCGCACCATCCCGACTTCGGCCGAGAGCGGCATCCTGGTCCGGATGCGCCCCGAGCGGGAGAGTACGCGATCGCGCTTGACGCGTGGAGGAGGCCAGTGCCCGTCCGACAGGTCGCGCTGGCGGACGTCGAGACGTTCATGGCCTCGGCGCGGACAGGGATCGCCAAGATCCTGGAGGACGAGGCCGGCCCAGCCACGGGGCATCTGGAGGAGCGGCTTCACCGCGCGCTGGATGGCGGCGCGAAGACGCCCCCCAGCGTCGAGGACGCGAGGACGTTGACGGTTGACTACGATGAACACGGAAAACGATACAAGGAGTGGAGATCCGTATGTGCCGAGATCTCGTATAGCCATTTTGGCGACTGGGATAAGCACCACGAGGGGCCCGCCACGACGTTGGCCTTGTTCAAGAACATTCAGAGACAAGGCGGTGACCCTCGGTTGTGGTACGCCAGCTGGTGTCGCGAGGCCGGCGTCAGCCCGCAGGAGAGAATGGGCATCGAGATGAAGCTCTTGACCGATATACTGTACCTCAGTGGATGCTACGACCAGTTGAATGGTCCCTCGCTCGCGTGCATCGAGACCGTAGCTCGCCGTGTATGTCAGATCATCGAGGCCTACTCGGCGGGCGTGCCTGGTCGTGCCAACTGGGAGGGCGTGAAGCATTTCACCCAGGTGGCTTCAGCATCATATGTGGCCCCTGCTGAGCTGCGTTCCCACGTGCACCGCCGGGCCAAGGAGGAGATGGAGATCGAGAGCATGCGGGTGCGCACGCGGGGCCTGCAGCCGCCTGGAGGGCCAGAGGCGGTGCCGCCTGGCGCGCCCGTCAATCCGAAGGGCACCCCGAAGGGCGGCGGTCGAGGCCGCGGCCAGCCTGTGCAGGGAGCTGGCCAGGAGGGCGGCGGGAAGGTGCCCCTGGCGCCACAGGGGTGAGTTACTGGGCCAGCGGCGAGGGTGGTCGACTCGACGCTGGAGGCCCAGACCAGGCGGTGTCCGATGAGCGAGTGAAGCGCGTCAGTATGCTGCCTCTTTTTCCTCTTCCCCTCTCCCAGCTGCCGCCTATGCCGAGTGGACGTGGCCGACAGGCGACAGGCCTGCGAGGCCATTTGCGACGTCTAAATGCGGATGTCAATGCAACTTTGAAGGCTTTGAATTGGATGGCGGGCGACCGACGTAAGGCCTCCTATGGGCCCCCAGTCACCTCAGAGCAGGCCAGTGTGCAGGCGCGCGTCCGGGACAGGATTTCGCCCCTTTTGAGTTCCAGCGTTGCGATCCCTGGCCAGCGAGCGGCTCTCCTCGAGCTGCTGCACGGCCGGGCTTTGTATGATGCAGAGCCCGGTGGACACAACCTTGCCAGTTTCTCCAATGTTGCCTCTGTGAGCCTTCCTGACAACCTCGAGGGCGCCCCGATGGTGCAAGATGTTGTTGGCCCAGAGGCGAGCCAGTTTTTGGAGCAGAACTACGAGCGCATGCTGCGCCCTCTCTCGATTTTTTTGGAGCGACAGGAGTCGCTGCCCCCTGTAAGGCCCTACTGGGACCCTGTGCTGGCTCGTAGTCGCCGCAAGTTTCTGCGGCTCATAAGGTTGGTCTGGTGATGCTGCTGCCTGCTGGGTCAGCCCAGGAGCATGTAGGCATGTTTTCTTTTCTGTTTTTTTGTAAAGAAGGCAGGACAAAGCAAAAGCCGTCTGAGAATAGACGCACGACGTGCGAATCGCCGTTTCGCTGAGCCCCCTGGAGTTCACCTTTGTTCTAGTGAGAGCCTCGCAAGGATTGAGGTCATTTTGCCAGGCTCTGTTTCCAGTCTCTCTCCCGGACAGCTCACTGGCGCCCAGATGTCTCTGGGGCTGGCGGATGTGAAAGACGCGTTCCATCGTTTCCGTATTCCGAGTGGTCTGGTCAGTTACTTTGGGTTCGGATCGGCTACGGCGGGGGAGCTGAGCGTCGTTGGACAGAACCTTGATGGGGTCCTCTTGGGTGTTGACGACCAGGTCGATATCTGCTGGGCCTCTTTGCCGATGGGCTTCTCTTGGTCTCTGTACTTCTGCCAGCAAGCGGGTGAACAACGTATGAAAAGCGCCCCAGGGCTCACGACCTCGACCCTCCTCCAGGACCGCGGGGCGCCAGGGATTTTTCGGTTCTCGGAGCGCTTCGACCCGTCTACTGGGACCTCTGCGGTGGAGGGTTCGGGGATCTGCCACCATATCTATGTGGTAAACCTGGGTGTGATTAGCTGCGACCCTGTCAGCACTTCGTCGGCGTTGTCGGACGCCTCGGATCGGTTCGAGAAAATTGGCCTGAGGACCCACGAGCACGAGGTGACCTCAGGCAAGTCGAAGGCTCTGGGGACTCACTTGGATCTGGAGGGCTTTCGTGTGTCCCTCTCGCCTGCCCGTTTCTGGAAGGTTCGACAAGGGGTGCTGTGCGCCTTGAGGTGCCGGAAACTTCCCGGACGCGCGTGGGAGGTGCTGCTTGGTCACCTCACGTTCTGCGCCCTAATCAACAGGAGCATGATGAGCGTGTTGAGGGGCATCTACGCATTTATTAACAAACATTATTGCGTGCCCACAGCGTTGTGGGAGACCGCCCGACAGGAGATGACCGCCGCCGCGTCCTTGCCGTTCGTGATGGATGCCTCTTGGACTCTTCCCTGGGCCCCTAGCGTGGTGGCGACAGACGCGTCTGAGGAGGGGTTCGGGGCTACCGTCTCTTATTGGGCTCCTGACAAGGTGGCTCAGGTGGGGGGGATCATGGAGAGGAGACGCTTCAAGAGGCTTCCTGGGGCTTCGGCGCGGGAAAGATTTTCCGGCAGCTTGGAGGATCTTGGATCGGATGGAGAGGGGCCCGATGACGATCAGCCCTACTTGGTGGACTCCAATTTCCCCGAGGTCCCGCGCAAGCAGCTCTCCAAGGCCAATTGGGACACCCTCTTAGCAGGTCCCTGGAAGTGCTTGGACGAGGGCATCTATACCCTCGAGTCGCGGCCTTCTGGGCTTCCAGGCGGTGGTCAGTACCCATCATGTTCGTGATGCTAGATTGTTGTTCTTGGTCGATAACGTGGGAGTCTGCCTGTCTTTCGCACGAAGTCGTACCGCGGACTTCCGCTCTTTGATGTGCATGCGCCAGATGGGGGCCTGATGTCTCAGTTTGGGTCTTCGTGTGCATTTTCCTCTGAATGGAAGTCAGCAGACAAACCATCGCGAGCTTTCTCAGTGGAACATGGTGGCTCTTCAGATTTTCCTGTTGGTGTTTATCGTACTCCAGTCGAGCCAGATTCCGACGAATGCAGCAAGACTGATGCTTCGGGGAGGGCCTCCGAAGGCCAAGCTCCGCCCGAAGGCCAGGCTGGCTGGTCAGCCCTCGGGGTCAGCGTCCGCCCCAGCTCTCCCGACATCTTCGAGAGCGCTGGTGCCGGTGGTGCCGGTGGCGAGCCCTCCGTCGGCGAGCGCCCCGAGGCAGGCCGGGCTGCTGGCCCCGGGCGGCGAGCTGTCTTCACGACCGGTGACAGCCGACCGCGCGCCGCCGGCGGACAGACCTCCGGGCAACAGCTCAGACACAGAGGCGACGGAGGTGGACAGGACCAGCGACAAGACATCCGACACCGATCGGATCGTGGTCAGACCTCGGCGCCGTGCTCGCAATCTGGAGCTCCCTCGACCGAAGCGGCCCCGAGTTCCGGTGGGACCAGATCGGCTTCAGGGACTCGGACTGCTGCCCTTGGAGGCCAACGCGGTGAAGGCCACCGCGGAGAACCAGTACCACGAGCTGGTGACTCTATGGAGGCCCAACGCACGCGACCTCGGCGAGCCGCTCGGCGAGGCTGCCGAGGTGGACGCCTCAGTGGCGCGGCAGCTTCAAGACTTCTTCGACCAGGGCGAGAACGTCAGCAAGGGCGAGAAGCTCGTGGCTGGTCTGGAGCACTTCCTGCCAGAGTTCGGCCGACATGGAGGGCTTCACCTCTCGCGGAGCTACCGCGCCCTCCGGGGCTGGAGGCGCCGGCGCCCACCTCGGTCGCGTCGCCCCCTCGCATTTTGCATCTGGGCGGCGATCATCTGGGAGTTCTGCCAGGACAACCTCTGGAACATGGCGGTCTACACTCTGATTATGCTGGTGACGTACATGCGGCCGTCGGAGCCGCTGAAGCTGCTACAGGGGGACCTGCTCGCCCCCGCCCACGGCCTCTCTGCCTCATGGATCTGCTTTGCTTTTCGCCAAGAGCGGGGTCAGTCTTCGAAGACCTACGCCACGGACGAGAGCATCGAGCTCAGTTGCCAGTGGGCCCCTTTCCTTGCGACCGTGGCGGCTGCCCTCAAGCGTGGCCGCCCGAAGGAGAAGGTTTTCAGTATCCGCTACAGCTCGCGCACGCGCCAGTTCAAGACAGTGTGTCGACGGCTCGGACTAACTGCGGTGCCATATCAGGCAAGGCGCTCAGGCGCCTCCATCGACGCCGCAAGGAAGTACAGGACGAGAGCCGAGATAAAGGCTCGCGGCCGATGGAAGGCGGACAAGTCAGTGCTCAGGTACGACAGCAAGGCCAAGATAGTCGAGAGTGTCGACAAGCTGCCCGACTCGTTGGCGCCTCACGTCAGAATGTGCGAACTCCGACTCTGGGACCATTTGTGCGGCCAGATCGACCCCTCGGCCATCGCACTGCCCGACGTCCTGAGCTCGGCCCCAAAGAAGCGACACCGTACCTAGCCGACCTGTTTGGAGGCGCAGGAGGTGTTGGGCGAGCCGCGGGGCGATACGGTATTCGTGCTAGGCTGTGGGATATTTCAGTTTCTAAGTCTTTGGATCTGACAGATCTGAAGAATATCGATTTGCTTCGCTCAGAGGCTGCGGTAGGACGAATTGTTGCTGTCATGATAGCCATAGAGTGTCGGTATTGCGGCATCGCTCGCCACAGGACGAATGTAATTCGATCTCGAGAGGAGCCCTGGGGTGTTGCCAGACCAGTCAAGCCTTTCTCGGATAACGACACCAAAGCTTTACAGAGTGGTAACCTCCAGGCCCGACGAGTTCTCCGACTACTTAGAACTATGCATTTCTTGGGTATCCCTTGGGCTGTTGAGAACCCTCATACAAGTCTCCTGTGGCACGCCCCAGAGCTCAAATACTTCGAAAAGGACCCGAAGGTGCATGTGAAGATAGTTGACCAGTGTGCCTTTGGAACTGCCTGGCGCAAGCGTACTCGTGTGATGTTCGGAAACTGCGACGAGATAGATGTCTCCCTGTGTGATCAGTACGTTTGTGCCGGCCGAGGTGTGTGCCAGTTTTCACAGAAACGCCATGTCGAACTCGAAGGACGAAAGATGACCTCGAACGCCCAGGTTTACCCACCCAAGTTTTCCCACCTCCTGGGCAAGATCTTGTGCAGTGGTTATGTGTATGGCCGCTTTGTCTATCCATCAACTCGTAAGCTCACATCCGCTTGGGAGGACGATTCGGGAGACGAGGCAGTCAGTTGTTCAGGAGTATAGACACCAAAGCCGCGTGAGACACAATGCTGACAAAAAGAGAGTGCAGGTCCTTCATGTTAGTGCGAAGTATGCCTGCAGACGGGCACGGGATTGAGGGGCCCAGCGAAATCGACGTCTCCATTCTATCATTCCATTATACTATTGCTCAAGTCTCCCGCGCCCCTCTCCCTCTCGCTTCTGTGCCGATCTCGTTTCTGACCTACGTCGCCTCCGAGACGAGGCAGTCAGTTGTTCAGGAGTATAGACTCCAAAGCCTTGCCGTTCCGAGAGAGCCAGCGCGTGATGACGGTGGCTGAGTTGATGAGACACAATGCTGACAAAAAGAGAGTGCAGGTCCCTCATTGCTTTGCATTGCTTTGCATTGCTTTGCATTGCTTTCCATTGCTTTGCATTGCTTTGCATTGCTTTGCATTGCTTTGCATGTTTTGCATTGCTTTGCCTTGCTTTGCATTGCGTTGCATTTCGTTGCATGTCTTTGCGTTGCTTATCGCTGCTTTGCATGTCGTTGCATCGCTTTGCATCGCTTTGCATCGAACACTGCTTTGCATGGCATTGCATGGATGTACTGCCTTTCGCATAGATTGCACTACATTTGTTACACCACCTAGATCCCGCTACATTGATCGCACTGCGAAGCATCGCCTGCACGGAGTCACCGTGTGGGGCCCACGCTGGCTAACATACGTACATGTGTGTATACATACGCACTTACCTTAGAATCAGTATGGTGTCACACTGCAGTCAGGTGAACATGCTGCTAGTGGACATTTTAACAGCAACCTTCAGTTAAGAAACAGAAGTGCACTCCCAGAACAAGATTCATTCAGGACAAGGCCGCACGGAGTGCAAATGAATCATTCGCGGCGCAGGTTTTGCTTATTTCGCAAGGATTGTCTCTGTGCATTTCTCCGCGCAGCCCTTTGGGATTTCACGCGAATGCCCCGATGAATCCCAATGAGAATTCATGGTGGATTTCTGGTGAATTTCGCACGGGTTGTTCCCTTCGTTTGGGCGCGACATTGCGGTTTTTAAGAACGACGTGCTTCCCCACGCGAGATCCGCTTGGAATTCACGCTCTTCGTTTTCCCGAAATCCACTTTGGGGTTCACCTCGCAGGTCTGCCCGGCACGTCATTATCGAAATCCTTTAGCCTGCGCCACTCCTCCCGAACGCGTGCGCAACATGAGAATTTGCATGGCTGGTATGGCCCACCCTGATTGAAACAGAGGAGCGCGCGGAAGCACCCTGTACCCTTGCCTAAATATTCGGAGTGCCGCGACGCCCCGCTTGTCCTTTCAAGCCAAACCATTCTGCCGTCTCCAAGGTGCGTTCGGTCTATCGCTGCCTCAATGTCAAATCAGGGGGCCAGGGGGCGTGGGCTCGAGCGCGCGGCAAGTTCGATTCCACCAGCCGCGCGCGCGCGGGCCCCATGAATCGACGAGCGGGCCCCAGTGGCCTCACAACGGCCTCACAGTGGCCACTGGTAGTTTTACGTGGCCCCCACTTCCTTCCGATGCAGAGGAAACGTGACACGCAGAAAGCCTTGAGAAATCAGAGGGGGGACGAAGGCCACTCGTGAATTTACAGGTGGCCACTGCTTGGCCGTGGAGAGGCCTCCGTGAGGCCACGTGGGGGCCACTCGGGCCCGCGCGCTGCGCCCGCCGCCGCCGCCCGCCGGGGCCCAGGGCGAACGCGGCATGGCGTTCGGGACCGCGCGGGCGTCGGGGACGATGGGCCGACGATGCGTTGTCGACGAGGGCGGGGCCCGGAAAAACGACGGCGACGAGGGCGCAGAGGAAAAAGCAAAGCATCGTTGGGCTTTTGCGACGGCAGTCACAGAAACCGCAGCGCAGTCGAACATCTCACCGGCAACCATGTTCACCCGACTGCAGTGTCGTGCAGCGTGCAAGGACACAGCGAGTGGGGAACAGGGCGCAGTCTGCGTGATGCAGACGTGCATACATGGGGACGTGTGTGCATGCGAAGGGAGTCAGGAGGGGAAAAGCACACAGACACAGTTAATCGTCGATTCACAGGACATATGGGAAACTATTGGGAGTGGGGAGGCAGACGAAAACCAAGGAAATATGTAAAAAGATTGGGAATCCTGGGATTTGTGTGTACTTCTTTGTGTGTCCTGGGGCCCCTTCAGGGAAAGCGAGGGGGGGGGGCCTTAGAAGGCCGCGCCCCCCTCGCCTCCCCTCCCCTGTGTGCGCGCCACCAGCGGTGTTTCCCCGGGGACCTCCAAAACACTCAGGCTAAGTCGGGCGTGTCCCTCTACAGGGGAATCTACAAAAATAGTCCCAAAAATAGTAGAGGGCGATGTTTCGACTATTATTGGTCATTTTTTCGCCCCAAATCCCCCTGGAGGAGGACATGCCCGACTTAACACTCAGGAGGGCTCGTGAGACCTGGGCCCGCCTGGCCGTTGCCCGAGCGAACGTCTCGCCCAGAGAGCTCGGTTCGCTTGCTTTCGGGGGCCCAGCACTGGCACTTCGCTGGGCCCGTGCTGGCCCGTCTCCCTGCGAGCCCTCTCACTTCCAGCCAGGCCCAGCCGCGTTCATAGACAGTCGAGTTTGATTAATAGGTCGACCCTGCCCAAATAAGGGTACCCTTGTGTCATGTGTTCCGCGACCATGCCCTCTACGTTCCACTGGCAATATGGCCATCCGAAGGGTCTTGCGTCCTCTCGCGTGTCCTCTCCAATCGACCGTTCCTATAGACGTGGGATCGGCTCTCTGGGCTTCGGCGAAGGCTTAGGCCCAGGCTATGGGAACGGGGCTCCGACTCAAGGCTGCGGTTGGGGCGTAGTGAAGCTGCAGCATCAGTGGTATCCGTAGTCATGTTTTCCAGTGCGCCTTCGCTACGGCTTTCGCGTTTGTTTTCTACTTAGCGTCCGTGCTAGCCCGAGCCATCTCATTCGCATGTGTGTTCTATGTATGTTGATCCCAGCGCACTTAGATCTATTCAATGTTGTTTATACCAGCCGTTAGCTTAGTTTCTCATCAGCTCATTGTGTTCGGGTGACGTAGCGTTATTGGACATAATTTGTGACATTTGGGCTTCGCCTCGACCCCCTTATTGGCGCCTCCGACGTTGTCGCTGGCTCTCGCAGCGCGCCAGGCAATGCCGCCCAGAGCCGATCCAAGAAGTCGGCGTGGACCTCCGAACATGTATGTAGTGCCACTGTTTCCTTCCAGTCGTGGATCTCAATATGTTGCTCTAATGCACGTGTCGTCCTCTCTGCCTGCTGTCGCTTCTTTTGCTCCTGTTGTCTCGATTTTTCCCGCTCTCCAGCAAGTCAGCTTCCCCGCTGATCTCTGGGAGGGGTCGTCGAGGCGAGAAGGATTGGCCTATTCCCAAACTTCTTATCGTGTGTTCTCGCGGCGTCGCTGGCGTCCAAACGTTTCTGGGCCACCGCTTCGGCCCCGCAGGGTACACCTCCGAAGTTTAAAGTCATGTTGTATGTGGTTCGGTGCACTTCCTTGAAAGTCACGCAAGAACATTGTCAAGTTAATGATGCAGCAACTTCAGGGATCAAGCCTCAGTCATGTCTTGTTGTACAGTCTGTGCATGTGCTGTAACGTTGTCCCACCGCTGATTCTCCGTACTTCTGCGTGCCTGGATGCCCCTGTGAACTACTTTGATTTTGTTGATTCAGACCTTGCGTTGCCAGACCCGCATACGTTGCAACCTTGGGGGGCCTTGTCTGTCCTATGACTGGCGCTAAAGTCTTCTGTCCCTCACGGGTCCGACATGTACTCGACGAGGATTGATGCTTAAGTATTCGATGTGGGTCGTCGATTCGACACGGGCTCGACACGAACAGTGATGCTATGGGACAGGCAGGGTGTTCCGAAGATGCAGCATATCCCGGGACGCGCAGATGTGCTGGATGGCGACAATTCAGTGCACGCCGCGTCTGCACTGACTGGGCGCGGAGTGTTCTGGCATTCTAGGCATTTTTGTGCGTGGTTACCACGGCAGCAGTTGCGCCCGGAAGCCATGCCGCACTGGGAGTCTCATGACAAGCTAGGCTGCAGCCAGAACTGCGCCCACTGCTGCCCGGGCACCGCTCTACGACGCGCGCTCACCAGTGAGACGAAGGCGCCCGTGCGGAAGTAAAAAGGAGTTTGGCCTAGGGCGAGGTGCAGTGACGTATTCTTGCCTGCCTCACCAGTTGTCGTGCACTCCACTGCCAGAACTCAGAGGAGGAAAAGGTGCCGATACCGCTACCCGTCCCTCGTTCTCCCTCTTCTGGGCTTCCTGTGTGGCCCTCGCCGCCACCGCTGGATTGGCCTCGAAATTCTGGTCAGAGCGCACCCCGGGAGAGGTCCGTGGAGCAGCGGTATCCATACCTTCTGGTTTCCCCAAGCACATGTCAATACCCATTGCCTGGGAGCCGCACCCAGTCGTGTCGCTTTGGATCCCGAGGAGCGATGGGTATTGATACCTGTCCGCGCTCGCGGGCGGGGGCATGTGCACATCCGTGGCTCCCTGGGGCCCAGGGCAGGACCTCACAAGCGGAGGATATTGATTTTTTCTTGCTGTGTGCGTGTGCGTGTGTGTGTGTGTGTGTGTGTGTGTGTGTGTGTGTGTGTGTGCCTCCCACCCGGGCGCGCCCCTTACCCCTCGCCAGGGCCGGGCCGCTCCCCACTTGCTGACAGTGCACCAGTTCGGTGCCTCCCCCCTTCGCCCCACCGGCAACCCCCCCCTGGTCGCCGTGGCGATTACCCCACGGCACTGGTGCGCCTTCCCGACCAGCTCCCCGACGTCCTCTGCGCCTGGAGTCCGCTGGACTGCCCTAACGTGAGTCCGTACTCCTCCTCCCATCTCTCTGCGCTGGTGGCCCCGGCCCGGCGCTGGACTCCCCGGCCCGGGTTGGCGCCCGCGGCCTGACGGCTGGGCTCCCGCTTCCTCTTGTTCGCTTGCACCAGCCGGCGGCGCCTCAGCCGACCACCGGCTCGCTGGCTGCGCAGCGGCTGGCCTCGCCAGCGGCCTGGCTCTTCACTTCCCTGAGATCCGATGCCGTGATTTTTTCAATGTGGGGCCCCCGGAAGTCTCGACCCAGGACCGGTTTTTCATCTTGAGTCGTTTTTTGACGGTCCCGAGGCCCGGCGAGGGCCCCTAGGGGCCGAACGTTGCGAAAAAGCTCCGTCTTGATTTTTTCAATACGCTGGATCTCCCCTGAAATCCGACGTCTCCCCGGCGAAAACGCCCGGCTCGAAAAAATTGAGTCGCCAGGATCTCAGGGTCCGTGCACTTGTTCGGTGTCTCCTGCTGGTCCCTCGCCCGCGGCCGGCCTGCCTCCCGGCGTTGGCCGCCCCCCAGTGGTGGGGCCCTGGGCTGGTCTTGCCGCCCGCGTCCCCCCCCCCCCCATTGGCAGCCTTGGCTTTAAGGCGGGCGCGTCCCTCTACAGGAGGAATATCCAAAGATAATCAAAAAATAGTCTGGGGCCGGGGACCATTTTGGAGTATTTTCTGGCATTTTTTCATTAAAAAAATCATGCAAACTCCCCCTGTAGGTGGACACGCTCGACGGTAACCTTGGCTGCCCGCTTATAGGCACTTTCCTTTACATGCAGAAGCGCTCACCAGGCCAATCTTAGACGTAGGGCTGGTGAGTGCGCCCATCGTGCGTGGCCAGGAGAACGCATAGCGACGTCCTCATTTTTCCAGGACGGCGTCCCTGGAAGTCAAGACCCTTTCCCCAGGACCGGCTTTTCATTCTGAGTGGTTTTTTGACGGTCCCAGGGGCCCGCCCCCGCCTCCGCCTTGCCTGGTTTTCAGGCCGACCCCTCACCTGTGGTCTCGTACTGGTTGCCGCTGGCCCGGCTGCTTGCGCAGGTCACGCGTGACCTCGGCACCCGCCGGCCTCTGGCGCTTCGTGCACACCTTCGCCACCAGCCTCTGCTGGGCACTGTCCCCCCTGCGCGGCCCGCTGCCTGGCAGCCTGCCTTACCGGACCGCCCCCCCCCAGCCGCTGCCCTGCTGCTGCGCTGGTCCCCGCCCCCGGACGCCGCCCCCACCGCGCGCCTGGCCCTGCTTTTTGAGCGGTCTCGGCTTCCGTCCCCCTCCCGCCGCCGCTGGGCGCCCGCTCCTTCCTCCTCCTGCATGGTGGCTCAACTCGCGTTTCGTACGTCCTTCCAACGCCCTATCGCCAGCGCAGTGGCTCTGCCTAGCCGCCGACGCAAACAGTGTGTGTGTTGGGCCGTTGGATCTCAGTGAACGCCCACATCGTGCAGGCACGGTGGCGTATCTGCTGGTCACAGCCCTGGCGATTGCGCTGCTGGGGCCCCTGGCGGCTGCGGCCGGGAGGCGGCTCGGACGGGTCGGCGCCCTGCCGAGACTCGTGTTTGTCTGCCAGCCGCCGCGACCGCGGCTGGGCGGCCAGCCGCATCGCGCGCGCGGGGGAGCGGCGGCTGCGGCGCGTGCGACGCGTTGGGGGGCAAAGTCTGGCTGACTGCTTCCAGAGCGCGTTCACGCATACAGCCAAGGCGCTGAGATGAGGAGCGGCTTGGGTCCGGAGGGGGTTCGAGGTTCTTGAGGCAGGAACCAGGCTCCTCCGCAGCAGGCGGAAGGAGGGGGGGATGGAGAGGGCCAGTCGGGCGCGTGTGTTGGGGAAGTGGGTGCGTGTCCATGTGCGACTGTTCGAGGTACAGCTGCTGTGGAAGAGGGCGGGGGAAAGGGGGAATGAGGAGGGTGTTTCAGTTTCACCGCTCCACAGCCACACGATCAAAGCGCAGCACGGTTTGCAATGCTGCGCTCTCGCTATCCATGCGTTTAGTTCGGGCGGCGACGAGTCGAGGTAGGATCAGAAGAAGGCCACGAAAGTGTGGAGCAACATTCCCGCTTTAAAAGAGTTCCGCCCTTGCAACTTGCAACGTCTGGTCATCCAGCCGAAGGAATTGCAAGCGTGATCCCCGATTCGAGAAGGAGTCCTCCAGCCATGCAGCTGCTGCACAGTTGAAGACTTCTGACCATCAGGAGTACATCGATTTCGAAATTACGATTCGTCTGAAAGGGAGCCGCTCTCTTTCCGTGTAGCGGTCTGGAAACTTTGAGACGAATGTGCGCGGCGTGCAGGCGACAGTCACATGTTCAATACGAAGGTTCCCCTCCAGCCTCGCGTTTGTGGAAGACTTGTAAGACGGATGTGACTGCGCGATGGCGGGCGCTACATTATTGGAAAGGAACCGCCCTCCATCAGTGTAGCTGTTGCACAGTTGAAGTTTGGTGACCATCATCCGGAGTACATCAATCTCAACATTTCACCTTTCGTTTTGAAAGGGAACCGTCTTCCTTCGTATAATTCTGGGAAAACGTTAAGACGAGTGTGCGCGGCGTGATGGCGCGAGACACAGATTGAAGACTAGGATCTTCCTCAATGCTCGCGGTTGTTACAGACATGTAGGACGAGTGTGCGGTGCGCGAAGACGAGCGTTACATTTTAAGAAGGAACCGCCCTCAATCCGCGTAGCTGTCGGAAGCGTGGATTGTTCACGAGGGGGAAGTCTGAAGCGAAAGACCCAGCCCGCCCTACCGACACGTTTGGTGGTCAGAAGGTAAGGAGTTGTCTGTAAGAGACAGGGATGGGGGATGAGGGTGATGAGGGAAGGGGTATCGGAAGGGGAGGCAGGGGGAAGCCGAAGAGGAATGTGGGAGACGATTTCCGGTTCATAAAGATGGGGACGACGATGAGGATGAGGAGGATGAGGAGGATGAGGAATGATGTTGCTGTTGATGATGATGCTGATGATGCTGATGCTGTTGCTGATGATGATGAAGCTGATGATGATGCTGCTGCTGCTGATGATGGTGACTATGATGATGACGATGATGTTGCTGATGATGATAGTAATGATGGTGATGGTGATGATGATGATGCTGCTGAAGATGATGATGCCGATGATTGTGATGATGCTGACGCTGATGCTGATGATGGTGTTGATGCTGCTGATGAGGCTCCTGTTGATGCTGGTACTGATGCTGATGCTGCTGCTGATGCTGATGCTGGTGCTGCTGATGATGCCGCTAATGCTGATGGTGATGATGCTGGCGGTGGTTGTGATGATGATAACGATGCCGATACTGATTATGAGGATGATGCTGACGGTGATGTTGATGACGATGTTACTGCTGATGATGACGATGATGATGATGCTGATGATGTTGGTGATGATGCTGATGCTGATGATGCTGAGTATGATGATGATGATGGTGCTGCTGCTGCTGATGATGATAGCGATGATGATGCTGATGCTGATGCTGATGATGTTGATGCTGCTGCTGCTGCTGATGATGATGATGATGATGGTGCTCCTGTTGATGATGATTGTGATGATGCTAATGACGACAATGATGATGATGATTGTGATAATGATGATGAGGATGAGGATGAGGATGAGGAGGAGGAGGAGGAGGAGGAGGAGGAGGAACGGAGGAACGGAGGAGGAGGAGGAGGAGGAGGAGGAGAAGAAAGGGAGGGTTGGAGAGGCGGGGGAAGCGGAGGAAGGGGGATGAACAGGGATGAAGGGCAAAGGGAAGCGGGAAGGCGGAGGTGGAGGACCCTCCTTCTCCTCCTCCTCCATATCGCCCCTCCCCCCGCCCCCTCCCCTCCTCCCTCCTCCCGCTCCTCGTCCCTCCTACTTATCCCTCCGCCTTCATCCTCCGTCCTCCCCCAGCCGCTCTCCTCCTTGCTCCCCCCTCCATCGTTCACCTTCTCCCCTCTTTCTCACCCACCCCTACTGGAAGCGCAGAGTCTTACAACCCGTCTTCCTCCTCACGCCTCCTTCTCCGCCCTCCTCCTTCCGCCGCCCCTATAGGCCCCCCGTGCGCCGAGCGCGCCCTTCCTTGCCTTCGCGCGGGCGCCCCTGCCGCTGGCGCCCGGGAAGGTCAACTACTTCACCAACCTCGCCATCGTGGACTGCCTCACGGAGGGTTGCCCGGTGGAGGAGCTCATCGAGCTGGAGGACCGACGCCGGTGACATCGGAGTCTCGGAATGTCAGTTGTTCTCGTCGGCTCCTTGAGGTTTTCGGGCAGCTGCGCTTCGCCCGGGGCACTTCAGGGAGTGCCCGAATCGTCCCGAACCGCCGCCATAGACCACAATTATGACCCGATAGCCAAACCTGGGAGTCAGCCTTCGCCAGAGTAACCTTCGGTGCGGGTTGACAGGGTTCTCCCCATCGCTGGCCTACGCGCCTGGATGTGCCCCCCCCTCCCCCCCTTCCCCGCAGCCCCCTGAAGCCGCGCACAACCGGTCACTCCTGTCTAGGGTCACTCCTGCGTGTGCACCAAGCATGTCGACGAGGAGGACGGCGTCGGACGACTACGATGACGACGACGACGAGGATGGCGACCAGGTCGGACGACGATGACGACGTCGGACGATCGGCCTTCGCCGCTATCTGCCCCCTGGCGCACGTCTGCTTCTAAATTGTTTTGCTCGTTCGCTCCCTTCGCCGGCCGTGGGGAGAGGGGAATGGTGCGGGTGCGGGAGAGGTTTTCGGAGGAGGAGGCGGAGTGCGAGGAGGCGGATGAGCAGGGAGGAGGGAGGAGCAGGGGGGAGGAGGGGGAGCAGGAGGACGGGAGCGAGGATCAGTGGGATGCAGGGAGGTGAAGGGGGAGGAGGTGGAGGAGGAGGAGGAATATGAGGATAATGAGGATGATGCTGATGATGATGATGATGATGATGATGATGATGATGATGATGATGATGCTGATGATGACGATAATTGTCATGATGATGTTGATGCTGATCATGGTGCTGATGCTGCTGCTGGTGCTCCTGACGATGCTGATGCTGCTGATGATGATGAGGATGATGAGGATGATGATGACGATTATGATGTTGATGCTGATGATGATGCTGATGATGATGTTGATGATGATGCTGATGCTGATGACGATGCTGATGATGATGCTGATTATGATGATGACGCTGATGATGGTGATGACGACGATTAGGATGATAGTGATGATAATGATGATGCTGATGATGATGCTAATAATGCTGCTGCTGATGATGCTGCCGATGCTGATGACGATGCCGATGATGATGATGATGATGATGATGATGATGATGATGATGATGATGATGATGATGATGCTGATGACGATGCTGATGATGATGCTGATTATGATGATGACGCTGATGATGGTGATGACGACGATTAGGATGATAGTGATGATAATGATGATGCTGATGATGATGCTAATAATGCTGCTGCTGATGATGCTGCCGATGCTGATGACGATGATGATGATGATGATGATGATGATGATGACGACGACGATGATGATGCTGATGATGATGATGCTGTTGCTGCTGATGCTGATGCTGGTGCTGCTGCTGATGATGATGATGATGATGGTGGTGGTGGTCGTGGTGGTGGTGGTGCTGCTGCTGATGATGACGATGATGATGATGCTGATGATGATGATGATGATGATGATGATGATGATGATGATGATGATGATGATGATGATGATGATGATGCTTTGATGATGATTATGCTGCTTCTGAGGATGATGATGATGATGAGGAGGAGGAGGAGGAGGAAGAGGAGGAGGAGGAGCAGGAGGGGGAGGAGGAGGTGGAGGAGGAGGAAGAGGAGGAGGAGGAAGAGGAGTAGGGCTGGAGGAGGAGGAGGAGGAGGAGGAGGAGGAGGAGGAGGAGGAGGAGGAGGAGGAGCAGGAGGAACGTGAGGAGGACAGTGAGGGGCAGGGCAGGGAGGGAACAGGGAGCGGCAGTGGCGAGAGAGAGGCGGAGGGTGAGGATGCCGATGCGGACGGAGGCAAGCCACAGGACGGCCGCGAATTTCCGGAGCACATCTCCAGCTTCGAGCTGCGGGCTCCCGTATTGATCTGGCCGGCCAGGGGCCAGCATGGGCCTGGCGGTGCCTCTGGTTGGCCAGCTCGGGGCGGGCGGGGGGCGCCGGCGGCCCGCGCGGCAGGGCAGGCTCAGCGCGGACGAGGCAGCCATCCACGAGCACCTGCGGGAGCTGCGCGACGTGCAGGAGAGAGCGCACTCCCCCGACGTCGCGGAGGGGCGGGTGGGCGGGGCAGAGCAAGTACGCAGGGTGCCACATGCGAAGCCTACCCCTAGCCCCCACGATTTCTGAGGGGGAGGGTGGGGTTTACTTTGCTCGGGAGCTCCCGAACGAAGTGAACCCCACCCTCCCCCTCAGAAGTCGTGGGGGGTAGGGGCAGGGTTCGCATGTGCCCCCCCAGCAAGGCCAAGGCCTTTCGCTATTTTCCTCGAGGCTCCCTCGCCTCGGGATGCTCTCTACAGCGGCCAGCGGCGCCTCGCCGAGAGCGTTTTTACGGGGAAGCGCCCCTCCCCCACACGGATGCCTGAGGCCAACCCCGCGTCGGGATAAGGATCACGACGGACGGTTTTTCGCCATGTTCGGTTTCCGGGTGGCCTTCACTGGGCCCCGGGGCCGCCGGAGGCCGGCTCGGGATGAAGCGCTGGTCCCGGCGAGATGGTCCAGACCTCCGGGGGTCCACGCGGTGACAAGATCACGACGTCGGGGGTCTGGGTAGCAGAAGGTGGAGGAGCCAGGCGAGGTATCCTGTACCCTCCGCGGTGCGGTCGGTCCGCCTTCTTCGGTCCTCTTTGCCCTCTTCGCTCTCGCTCTCGTGTCGCCGCCTGCTCGCCGCTGTCTCTCCCTGTCCTTTTTTCCGTTTGCTGCCTTGCCCGTCTTCGTGCTTTGTCTCTCGCCGTGTTGCTGCGCGCGCGGCTGCCGAGCAGGCGCAGGAACCAGGCGAGAACGCGGAAGCAGAGGAGGAGGAGGAGGAGGAGGAGGAGGAGGAGGAGGAGGAGGGGGAGGAGAAGGTGAGGCGTGGGTGTATCTGAGCAGAGTCGGATTTAGTATCGAAGACGCCTACGGCGAATCACCGCCGCCCCCTGCCTTTTTGGAAGCGCCTATGTGGCCGAACGTTGAGGCCAGACCTGCCAAGCTATCGGACCACGTGTTCCCCGAATCGGTTTGGAAAGCCTTCGGGGAACACGTGGGCATCTTGAAGGTCATCTTGGCCGTCTTGGAGGCCTCTTGGGCAAGCTTTGGGCGATCTTTGGGGCTTTTTGGGCCGTCTCGGGCCAGCTTCGAGCCAACTTCGGCCATCTTGGTGGGTTCCTGGCACGTCTGAAGCCGTCGGAAGCCGTTTGGGGGGCCTCTATGGGCCGACTTGGGGCCCGCTTGGAATGCTCCAGGGCCGTCTTGGAGGCCATCTTGGGCGTCTGGGAGGCCATCTTGGGCGTGTTGGAGGCCTCTTGGGCCCTCTTGGGGCCCTCTAGGGGCCATCTTGGAGGCCACTTGGGCCATCATGGGGCTCTCTTGGGGGCCTCTTGGGCGATCTTGGGGGCTTCTTGGGCCGTCTCGAGCCGTCGGAGAGCCGAAAAGGCGCAAATGCCAGAATCCTTCAAAAACCAAGGAAAAATCAATGATTTTGGCCTCTTCGGACTCTCCTGGAGGACCTCTTGGAGGCCTCTTGGGCCGTCTGGGAGGCCTCTGGGGGGCCTCTTGGGCCGTCTTGGGCCGTCTTGGACTCTCTTGGGCCGTTTTGGAGGCCGTCTTGGACCATCTCGGGCGGACTTGGAGGCCATCTTGGGCCATCTTCGCGATTTTTTGAGGATGTCCCGAGCGAAACGGCCGTTTTTTGGAGGATTTTTTTCCGGATTGAGGTCCTTTCGGCTTCCTCCCGGGACCCCGGCGGGACGGGCCGGAGCCCACTGGGGAGTTCTTTTAGAAAAAGAACCAAAACCAAAACCTGAAACATCCAGCACGCCGTGCACCCCTGCAAGCAGGGGGCGGCGGATCTAATAGCCTACGGCCTATCCCGCCGCCGTGCTTGCGCTGCGGTTCAGACGTCCAGGATCAGGGAGGGGGAGGAGGAGGAGCAGGAAGGATGAGCCGCAGGAGCCATCAGCGGAGGAGCAGGAGGCAGGAGGATGCGGATGACGAGGGGGTGTGGAGGAAGCCAGGAAGAGGCCGAAGAATAATACATCTGACGACGGATACTGTCCAGAGAAATGCAACGAAACCGACGGACACACATGGTCGAGATCCCGCAAAGCCCACGGCATCCCCCCTTGGGACGCCGAGCCAGAGGACGACGACGACGACGACGACGACGACGACGACGACGACGACGACGACGACGACGTTGACGACGACGACGAGGCCCGAGGGTCTCTTCGGAGGGCTTCTGGGGGCCTCCAGGGGGATAGGGAGCCGTTTCAGGGCCCCTTTGGGTTTTTTGGGTGCCTCTTTGGAGCGTCTAGGGGCCTCTTGGAGGCCTCTCGGGACCCCATGGAGCTCTTTGTGGCGGAAGGCTCGATTGGCCTGGTCGGGCCCCTGCCTCCACTCAGGGCCGCCTTGGCGCCCTCCCGAGCTGTTCTCGGGCCGTCTTGGAGGCTTCTTGGGCTGTCTTGGAGTGGCATTGGAGGCTTCACGGGCCATCTTGGAGCGTCGGGAGGCCACAAGGCGAGGACACCAACATCTTTCCCGAACGCAGGGGAGATCGATCGATTTTGCATCTCAGGGCCCTCTTGGAGGTGCTCTCGGATGCCTCTGGGCAGAGTCAGATTTACTTGAGCACCTGGCTGGTTTCCTTTGATAGCAGGCGCTGCGATGTTACACCCGTGAGAAGAAGAGCTGGTGTGCGATCTTGTTTGCCTGCCACAGATGTGCCCTGGGCAGGCGACGCGTCTGATATGAGCACTACAGCGGTGCTTATTTCGATCACCCATCCTCGCAGAGTGACAAGCTAGCATGCTGCGGTGGCTTCTCAGATCATTTATGGACTTCCTCAGTACGGATAAACCGAAGGGACCTGCGGCACCTCCACTCGGCCCCTACGCCACGGTGGCGGATTGGGACGCGACCCCGCCCTGAGGGGGCAGACGATTTCTACCAACCATCTGGTGGTACCCCTGCCGCCAACGCCTGCCCCCTGCAGCAATCTGCTGGGACAGTGTCCCACAGGACTGTGTGTGCTTCTGAGTGCATGGCTCCGTTCTGCCCCGCGCTGGCTGCTCTGCTCGGCACCGCCCTGCTCTGCCCTGCCGGGCACTACCACTCCCTGTCTCCCTTGTGTGCCCCGCCCCACTGGGGCTTGCCCTGCCCTGGCCGCTCGAGCGCGCATGCGGACTGCCTCTGCCGCGCTGCGACGTCAGAAAAAGTGTGCCTCGCCCCACGCGCTCCCCCGCCTTCGTGCCGATCGAAACGCCAAGAGGCTGCCCAGTCGAGCTATGCTTTGCAGCTTACCTCGGCGGCGAGCGAGGGGGGGAAGCGGAAAGGGGCGGGCCTTCTCAGAAGGATCGGAAGCCCCCGGCCTTCTGAGACGTCTTCGAAGCCTCCCCCGAAGACGCAGAGAGCTTCTCAGAAGGCGCGAGGGGCGTCCGAGAAGTGCCGCCGCCTTCCGAGAAGGCCTTCTCCGTCTCGCTTCTCCCCCTCGCTCGCCGCCGATTGCCCGCCCTCGGGGGAAAGAGCTTCCGTACTCGCCCTCGCTGTGGCGCACGTGCGCGCGTGCGCGGGCGCTCCCCCCCTTCCCCGAAGGTGTGTGGCAGGGGTTCGGCCCCGAGCTGCAGCCTCCTTGCCTTGAGCAGCTGGGCGACGCGAGAATGCGCGCGCACGTGCGTGCGTGGTGCGCGCGCGCGCGTGTGTGTGTGTGTGTGTGTGTGTGTGTGTGTGTGTGTGTGTGTGTGTGTGTGCGTGCGCGTGTGTGTGTGTGTGTGTGTGTGTGTGTGCGTGTGTGTGTGAGTGTGTGTGTGTGTGTGTGTGTGCGTGTGTGTGTGTGTGTGTGTGTGTGTGTGCGTGCGCGTGTGTGAGTGTGAGAGTGTGGGGGTGAACATGTCAGTGTGTGTGTGTGTTTGTGTGTGCGTGTGTGCGTGTGTGTGAGTGTGTGTGTGTGGGTGTTTGTGTGTGTGAGCAGGCTGGTCTTGCCGCCCGCTCGTGACCTCCGGGCTGCCCCTCCCGCCCGCCCTGGGGCGCACTGCCCCAGCGACTCGGGATGAAGAACCGGTCCAGGGGAATGGGTCGAGACCTCCAGGGGTCGACGTGATGAAACAATATCATGACGTCGGGGGTTTGGGTTGCCTGTGTCCCCCCCATCTGCCTGGTTTTCTGGCCACCTCTCCAGCACCAGCGACCGTTGTCTGGCCGCTGTCGCCTCTCCGGCACCTCGCCAACGTCGGCTACTGCTCAGTTGGCTCTCTGCCTCAGGGCCCACCTGCTCGCCCACTTGGCTCGCCGACCCCCACTGGGCGTGGCCTTCCTGCCCGCCGTCGGCTGGCGTTCGATGCCGTCTCCCCTCGCCCTCGTTCTGCCTGTCCACTTGGCGGTGCCCTGCTCCTTCTTTGCCCTAGATGCCGCACCGTTGCGCCCCGCCGGGCCGTCCCTCAATCCGCGGCTGAATTCCTAGCTCTTGGCGCTCGTCTGTCTCCCCCCTCCGCCGCCTTCCTTTGGCCGCTCTCGTACTGCTCTGTGCCGCTCTGGGCGGTGCCACTGCCTGCCTTTCGCCCCTCCTGCCCGCGCCTCGCAGGCCCCCCGGTCTCGGCGCTTCGGCTCTTCCTTGGACCGCGCCTTGGTCCACTGGTTGGGCACCGCCCCCTTTCGCCTCCCTTCCTCAGCTACTGTCCTGTGCCGCTCGGCACCAGCTTCAGCCATGTCCAGCTCAGTGCTGACCAGTACTGGCCTTGTGCCTGCATGCGGCGCGGCGCCTGCAGCTAGGGCTGATCAGTCATGGCAATCGCCTTCCGTCTCCTCGCACGCGCCTCGCAGGCCCGCAGGTCTCGGCGCGTTGGCTCATCCCTGGACTGTGCTCGGTCCACCGGGTTGGGCTCTGTTGCGTTTTGTCCCCACCGCCAGCTGCAGCTCCAGGCTGCCCCCCCCCCAGCTTCAGCTCAGTGCAGCTCAGTGCAGCCTGTGCCGGCGCTGCTCCCCCTCTCGGCGCTCCCCCCCCGCCGCAGCCGGCAGATCAGAGTGGCCCGGCTTCCTCTCTTCCCGTCGCGCCGGGGCTCCTCCTCCTCCTCCTCCTC